ATGCGTTTCCCAAAAATGCACTTAACGCAATTACACGTAGCTGTGCTTAAAGGCAGGGTATGTGATTTTTCAAAAACACTTTAGAAAACTGATTCGGGCCGAATAGCAAAACAAACTTGTAGCCAATCAGCAATAAGGGGTGTGTCTACTCGTGATGTGGAGGAGAGAGCGTTCAGTGCACAGGACGGACACTAGCCGAGCCGAGCGACAGAAAGATAGAGATGGTGGATAAAAAACAAAAGAGGAAACCGTCTGTGGAACGATAAGGCAAGAAGTAGGACCCGTGTAAATATCGGATCAGCTTTCCAGCGCTGGAGAGAACTCAAGGAGCGGAGGCCTGTGATTGGACACCGAGGTTGCTTTGTTTCTTCTCAATAGGTGAGTAACACCGTGTCCACAACAGCTAAAGTCTGCCTACACTGGACGACCTTGAAAACCATTTGAAATTTGTGTCAGCACGTCATAAATAGAACCCGGCAGCAGTTTTCTGTTGGGATTTGTTGCGCTGCGCCGCGCCGCTCGTATCCGATGTAGACACGGTGTAGCATTGGTTTTGCTTTGTTTCACAGAACTAATCGTTGCCTGGATTGCGCACGTATATGTGGGGCGGAGCTATCAAAATAGGGGCAAGACCCTTTTGGGGTAGGGGCGTGTTTGTTTTGGTGATTTCAAATATCAACATTGGCTTCCAGAAATCACTTACTCTGCCTTTAAGTGCAACTTAGGAGTCGCTATCCATTTGTCAAGTGCTGAAATGTCACCTTATAGAATGGCTCATAATTGTAGTAAACGCTTGTTTATTGAAATGTTAACCTAATGCTGCGTTCCAGACAACTCGGAAATAATAACAATTATATTATATTATACGTATAATATTATACTTTACATAAAAATATAGGCTACAATATACTTTATACAAAAATATATATTATAGTAGGCTATATAATATCTATACCATAGGTATAAGGGGTTCAGTCATTCAGTTTAGATGTGTATTTCAATTTTTTCTGCCCTTTTTAATTATGTAATTTATAAATTCATTAAAAAAAATTTAAGTAGCCTAATATAGTAATAAAGTGTAGAATAAAGTACAATCAAAATTTTTTTATTATAATCACATTGCACTTGAATAAAGTTAAAGGTGTAATCTGCCGATTGTCCTGCAGGTGACAGCATAACTCTATCTTCTTAAAATGCACTTAGGGCTTTATGATTACTCCAGTGCACTCGTAGTTCTACGATGTTTTTCCAAGTGCTACTTAAGTTACGATGCTTTTGGGAAACAGACCGTAATATTAAGATCAGTCGTACGATCGTTTTTACGAACTTAGCCCTTACGAAGCTTTTGGGAAACGCAGCCCAGAGTGTTTAGCACTCCGCGATGTTCATCTCGCCTTATTCTGGGTCCGAATAAAACATCAGATCATGCACAGACTATCCTGTTTCTTTGAATTTAAATCTATATTTATTCACACCGGCTCTTGAAAACCTCTATGCGAACACACTTGCCCGAAAAAAGTGCGGGGGACGAATTTACGTGGTATTAAAAGTGTGGGGGACACGTCCCCTGCGTAATCTACGCCCCTGGACCTCGATAATCAGTACTACAAACCATGTCTTGTTTCAAACTATTGTTTAATCATTAAAGATAATCAGAGCACATTTAACTATCATAAGGAGCACTAAATGAGATTGAATTATCCGTTAATATGTAAGATTTCTTTATTAGGCTATAACCATGAACCATATAATAACCCAGGTAGCCTATTACGTTTCTTAAAGGGTTAGTTCACCCAAAAATGAAAATTCTGTCGTTAATTACTCACCCTCATGTCGTTTCAAACCCGTGAGACCTTCGTTCATCTTCGGAACACAAATTAAGATATTTTTGATGGAATCTGAGAGCTCTCAGACCCTCCATAGACAGCAACGCAACTGAAATGTTCCCAAAACCAGAAACGTAGCAAGGAGATCTGTAAAATAATCCATGTGACATCAGTGGTTCATCCGCAATTATACGAAGCTACGAGAATACTTTTAGTGGGCAAAAGAAAAATAAAAAAAACGACTTTATTCAACAATTCGTCTCCTCCTTATCACCCGGTAAACAGCTTATGCTGTTCTGTGTCAGCTGCATCACACGGATACGCTGTTTATTGAGCAACAATATATAAGTGCAAACGACAAGTCTCGGTTAGTCTAACGCAGTACGCGTAGCATATTAGGGATGGGAAGATTCCCCGATTCGCTCGGTGCATCGGCATAAAAAGTTAGCGATGCGGTTTAAAAAGTGTGTATCGGCTACAAGTTGTCATTTATATCGCGATACATCGTTTCTAACATATTTGCATTGGTAAAAACAGATTTATTTATCTATAATTACTAATAGATGCGCTATACTTTTTTTATTTAGAAAGTGACCAATATTTTATATGCAGATTGATTTCTCCTCTAAACTGTTTGTCAAGCGCGCTCTCTCATCACCGCTGCTGCTGCATGAATCTGACGCATCACAACACCACGGAGACCCGAGGAAAAGTGGGGATTAAAGTCCGAAACCTGACTTGAAATAACCTAACAAATCAATCGGGGCTAAAGCAGTTCCATTAACGACTAATTAAATTCACACAATCTCACTAATTTGTGCAGGTTTATTCTTAAGCAGCCCGTAATGTAGATCATGGATCAAATCGATCCACCATCGCAAACAGCGAATATATCTGTGCTGTTTAATGCATTTGAGACGTTGTGTTTTCCTCAGTGCATAACTGACATGTCACAGGTATATTTTTCATCTGTAAATGTTAGAAAGTCATGCAAACATGTCCATTTCTCTGTCAGGAGTGCGCGAGACACGCGAGAGCAACGAGCGCTGCTGCGCGCAAGCGCACTAAACAGACAGAGCGCAATCATTCTGAGTAAAATATACATTTTGCTAAAAAAAAATGTTTTTGGACATTAAATGTGTCTTTTGTAGAATTTTAAACCTACACATAAATTGTATTTTTATGATAGCAGTAACTGTAATATTGGACTATTGTAATAAGTAAATCAAATGTAAGCTAGCAGGCTACTAATTACTAAGCTCAAATAATGTGTGTTTCTTATAGCAGTTAAAATTTAGTCATTTTCTTTATTATTTATTTTCCTTTTTAATTCAGTGATTTTAACTTTTAATTTAGTTATTTTAATGCTTTAAAGAGCAATTTTAGATTGTAATGTTCTGATGTTCTGATCTGTTCTGCAAACTATAAAAGGTACAGCTGTAATAAAACCAGAGAGAAAGGCTGCATGGCTAGAAACTAAAAAAAAAAGTCAAATGATAGTATGTATTATACACACACACACACACACACACACAAAGAAAAACAAGTAGATAGAATAGAAAAAATAGAAAGCTAGTGTTTTTTTTATAAAAAAAAGAAGATAGATATAGTAGAATTAAAATAGAATAGAAAGTGTTAGAGTTAGAGGGTCAAATAAAGGTGGAAGAGATGTGTGTTTAGTCGTTTCTTGAAGATGGATAAGGACTCTGCTGCTCGGATTGAGTTGGGCAGGTCATTCCACCAGGAGGGAACAGTTAATGAAAAAGTCTGTGAAAGTGATTTTGTGCTTCTTTGGGATGGCACAATAATGCCTCGTTCACTTGCAGAACGCAAGCTTCTAGAGGCACATAACTCTGAAGTAATGAATTTAGGTAAAGGGGTGCAGAGCCAGTGGTGGTTTTGTAGGCAAACATTAATGCCTTGAATTTAATGCAATCAGCTACTGGTAGCCAGTGACTAAATAACAATGACTTAAACAAAATATTGGGTTTTAAAATGTGAACTTTATTTTTACAGACATTAAAAATGAATAACATTTATTTGACTTTAATATTACATTCATTTCTTACCACTGAATTAACGATGATGTGCTTTTCTCTTGACCGTAAACCAAAACTTCTCGGTTAATATCATGTTCTCTTCAATTAGACTTGTCAAATCTCTCTGAAATCACAATATTTACTCTCGAATATTTATTAATTATTCAATAAAGAGATCAATAAACGAGTGTTAGTCAGTCAGTAAAACAAAATGGCCGTTCATTTTTAAATGATGCCAGTGCGCGGCTTTATATGGAACACAGGAGAAAAGCGCGTGCAGAACAGAGGCGCGCTATAAAGAAACATACAAACAAACTCAGTGTTTATGATATGCTTTTCAGTCTGTGCTTAACCTCGGCTTAATTTCAGCTATAAAATTTGAATTATATTATCATTATAATGCGATTTGACTACTTTGATGTCTACACTTTATTAAAAGCTTATTTCAGACATGAAATTCTGCAGAAAATAGTTTGTTTATTATTAAAAAAAACATTTCAGCATTAAAATAATCAGAAACATCTGCAAAGTTTTAATTAGTTTACATGGTTATGACAACTAAAAATAACCTGCAGGGAACGTTCTCTCTAGTTATAAAAATAAAACTTAAAAAGAACCTGCAAGGAACATTCTGGGAACGTTCTCTCTAGGTTATAAAATAAAATAAAAAAATAACCTGCAGGGAACGTTCTGGGAACGTTCTCTCTAGGTTATAAAATAAAATAAAAAAATAACCTGCAGGGAACGTTCTGGGAACGTTCTCTCTAGGTTATAAAATAAAATAAAAAAATAACCTGCAGTGAACGTTCCACGTACATTCTCTGTAGGTTATAAAAATAAAACTTAAAAATAACCTGCAGGGAACGTTCAGGGAAGGTTCTCTTTAGATTATCAAAAAAGAACCTACAGGGAACGTTCCTAGAACATTCTTATTTGGTTCCCAAAAAAATAACCAACTGGGAACCAAATGGGAATGTTAGGGGAACGTTCTGTGTTTGTTGGGTTCTTGGCATTAATATTACACAGTAAGCAAACACAAAACAGTATTTTTGGGTATTTATTAGAAAAAAAAATTTATTGAAAGAGTTATTGCAGCATAAAAGCAAACTTGGCTGGATGCTTTTGGGTCCAGCATGGAATTGATGGCATGCTTTTTGGTGCCTGCCACAACAAGTCTCACCGTGCGCTCGGCTCTCCCCATGTCATTGACAGCAGAGCATGTGTAGTTTCCATCTTCTTTCTTGCTTATGCGAGGGATGATTAAGGTGCCATTTTGAAACACAAGGAACCTGGCGTTCGTAGGTGGTCCGTTAATCGGAATCTCAATTTTTTCAACAACAGCCGGCAAAGAGAATGTAATTAGTTGGTTTCCAGTGTATATCTCCCATGTGGCCTCAGGTTTAGGGGTTCCTTTTGTTTCGCAGTAAAGCATGACCATATATCCCTCATAGAGTTCAGTTTTTTCGATGTTTGGCTGATATGTGATGGACACTGATGGGGCCTTGCAGTCCAGTTTGGGCATGCTAGTGACCTGAGTACCTCTGAGGTGGGAAGGAGCATCGCAGACAATGTTGTTTTGCTCAGGGATGGAGATTGAGGATTTGCTGATCCAGTCCCTGAGCCACTCAAGGTTGCAGGAGCAGGTGAAGGGGTTTTGGAAGATTTGAAGGTGAGACATCGCAACCAAAGCATCAAACGTTCCTTGCACGATGGTGGTAAACTTGTTATTGTTAATACGGACCGAACGCAGTTCCTTCAGGTTGGCAAAAGTATCCTTGGGGATACTGACCATCTCATTATTGTTCATCTTCAACAACTGCAGGGCAGTGAGATTGGTCAAGTCCTCCCATGGAAAATACACGATTTTGTTGTAGCTAATATCCAAATTTTTCAGTTGAATCAATGGAGCAAAGGTGCCCCTCTCAATGGTGACGATTTCATTGTGAGCCAACCAAAGAGAGGTCACCTGGATCACATTTATAAAGTTTTTGGGTTTCAGCACTGTAATCTTGTTCGCTGAAAGACTCAGGGTGGTCACATTGGATGGCAAGCCCACGGGCACTTCCAGAAGTTCTTTGTAGGCACAATCTGTAAACTGGTGGTTTGATTTATCAGAGCATTTGCACTGCTCAGGGCAACTGTGCGCACTGCCAATCACTGCAGTCCCCAAAGCAATAAGCATCAGGTATTTGGTTGCCATTTTCAGCACCTGCCAAGCACACATGAAGGTGCAGATTAGCATTTTTCATGCACAAAGAACAAATGCAAGAGCCATATAAGAAAAAAAGAGTCATATAAAGTGCTAACGCAAACTGACAGCTTTGCACATTATAAGGGTGATTATCAGGGCCGGATTTACCTCTTTTCGTGACATAGGCACAACCGTTACAGTGTTTTCTATCGCGTTCAGTCAATAAAAATCGAATCTAGGTTCTTAATTTGTTTGAGAATTCAAATAAATTGCATTTTATTCCATTAATAAGCGCGGCGACGTGGCCACATAACCACTTCGGAAGTGTATTATTTCTCTAATAATTGTAACGGCCTGGAGTCACAACCACACATCAATTGTTCAGATTATTTGTTTCAAGACATTTGACATGTTTCCGTCCTGAAATCTCGTGTGGGCTGAACTAATATTTTTACGCACCTCATCCCAAACCTTCCGTTGCAAATTCCAAAACGTCATTTTACAGCTAATAACAGAGGCTTGAGCCATTGATATGCAGGCTAACGCAGTTATTAATGCGGTCTAACGCAGTTATAGAGAGAGAGAGCGAAAGAGAGAGGGAGAGATTAAGTGCGTGTGGATACGTCTGTGAGACTCTCAGCAGTATTCAACAGCAGCGTTATAATATTACAGTAGTATATTACGTTTTGCTGTAACACAGTAATATATCGCATTACTAATAAAATGTGGGTAATATTATTACTCGTTACAATCTCAGTAACGCACGTTACAACAACATATTTTAACTCTAAATTAAGTGGTGAATTTGCCAACACCGCAAAACAGCACCAGAGAAAAAAATTCTGCAGCTAAACTAGTTTGTCTATCTTCTGTTGCTGGAATTAGATGGTTGAGATGACTGCAGAGACGGATTCTACATTTGTACATTTTGTAGCAATATGTGCGACACCAAACTCTCTACATGGAGAAAAAGCAGGAGTAAAACCTGGAACCACCTGGACTGGTGCCACTAACACTGAGCTATCGGAGAGACCTGCGGGGTCGGAGAAGAGAAAAAAGGCGGCGGACGAGCGCAGACAAGCAACGCAAATGAAGTTTAACTAAAAATAACAAAATCTGTTTTTATTCAGTCATATTCTGTATGCAAAATGAATGAATATGCGAAATTCAATAATTAGCAGATTAACTAAACGAAAGGAAAAGACTGAGAGATATGCTGCTGAGTTTGGTTCACAGGCTATTTGTGTGGCGCGGCGCTCTACGAAAGTCCACGGAAAGGAAACCGATATGACAGAAATAAAAGTATCATTTACTTTTAACTGTTCATTATCAGAATAAATACAGTCAACCAAACATATAGATACACAGGTTAATTTAAATGCGTACTGCGTAGTGTATACAATCGGTGCCGTTCAGCCTGAGCGCGGGCCAAAGACACATTTGCTCATGTGACGAGGATGTTTTAAGTGCGTTATAAGCCTGCTTTACATAATAAATAATAGTTTAGCTTTCAAATACATCGCAAATATATGTTGTTTTGTGTGTTTTTTATATACAGCAGCTTCGAAAAAGGCATATTTTAGATTTTTCCCCCCTGTCGTATAAACTTCTCATATGCCACTGTTATTAGTGATATAACTTTAATGCCAGCTGCCAAATATGACACTTATAAATTAATACGATTTATGAACGCACATAGAAAAGAGAGAAAGTAGGGATTTTTTAATTTTTTTATTGTATTTTTATTTTTAAAAATTACATCTATTTAGTCATTTTTTTTCTGACCACCAAGTGTCAGTCACTCTCAATGCCAACTGGGGGGGGCGTGATAACCTCCCCGCGCTGAGATGCGTCGTATCATGTGTCGACGATAGCCAGAGATATTGTCAAAACAAAGCATCAAAAATTGGCAAAATTAAGAGGATTTAGCATTTGCACGTAATGTAGGCCTGTTACATTCTTATTATTATTAGGCCTATTATTTTTATTATTAGGTTACTTTTATTATTAAATGACATTAAATTATATATGTTATAGCAATAATTTCATAGCGCATTACCGCATGGCACGCTGTGAGGATAATTAAAATTTAGGCTATTAGCTTAGACTACTCCTCATTGAAAATGTTTTTTAAAAGTTTTTTTAAACAGGTCTTTTAATTTATACAATTGAATTATAGGCCTATAATTAAAATTATGAACACAGCAGTCATCAATGAAAATTAAGAGCAACTTTATTTCATGCAGATTTTCAAAAACAACCTGTTTAACCCGAAATACGTTTCTTCTCGTGTTTTTTACTATACAGGTCACAAGATAAATATTAAGAGAATAATTTAAGACAGTTATGTACTGTTATCAGCATATATTGAAGTAGATTAGTCTCTCGTCGTCTCTGAGAGAATATGCGCCGTTAATGCAGCGTTAGAATTCTCTGTACATTTTTTAAAACTTTTTTTTATTTATCAGTCCCGGAAAGGGGGGCCTTGGACATGCGGTTCTCATAAGGGGCCCCGCAATTTTCCGCTATGCCACTGGTGACAATACAACTATCTACAGCACTTTAGTCTTTTCGTGACATAGGCACAACCGTTACAGTGTTTTCTATCGCGTTCAGTCAATAAAAATCGAATCTAGGTTCTTAATTTGTTTGAGAATTCAAATAAATTGCATTTTATTCCATTAATAAGCGCGGCGACGTGGCCACATAACCACTTCGGAAGTGTATTATTTCTCTAATAATTGTAACGGCCTGGAGTCACAACCACACATCAATTGTTCAGATTATTTGTTTCAAGACATTTGACATGTTTCCGTCCTGAAATCTCGTGTGGGCTGAACTAATATTTTTACGCACCTCATCCCAAACCTTCCGTTGCAAATTCCAAAACGTCATTTTACAGCTAATAACAGAGGCTTGAGCCATTGATATGCAGGCTAACGCAGTTATTAATGCGGTCTAACGCAGTTATAGAGAGAGAGAGCGAAAGAGAGAGGGAGAGATTAAGTGCGTGTGGATACGTCTGTGAGACTCTCAGCAGTATTCAACAGCAGCGTTATAATATTACAGTAGTATATTACGTTTTGCTGTAACACAGTAATATATCGCATTACTAATAAAATGTGGGTAATATTATTACTCGTTACAATCTCAGTAACGCACGTTACAACAACATATTTTAACTCTAAATTAAGTGGTGAATTTGCCAACACCGCAAAACAGCACCAGAGAAAAAAATTCTGCAGCTAAACTAGTTTGTCTATCTTCTGTTGCTGGAATTAGATGGTTGAGATGACTGCAGAGACGGATTCTACATTTGTACATTTTGTAGCAATATGTGCGACACCAAACTCTCTACATGGAGAAAAAGCAGGAGTAAAACCTGGAACCACCTGGACTGGTGCCACTAACACTGAGCTATCGGAGAGACCTGCGGGGTCGGAGAAGAGAAAAAAGGCGGCGGACGAGCGCAGACAAGCAACGCAAATGAAGTTTAACTAAAAATAACAAAATCTGTTTTTATTCAGTCATATTCTGTATGCAAAATGAATGAATATGCGAAATTCAATAATTAGCAGATTAACTAAACGAAAGGAAAAGACTGAGAGATATGCTGCTGAGTTTGGTTCACAGGCTATTTGTGTGGCGCGGCGCTCTACGAAAGTCCACGGAAAGGAAACCGATATGACAGAAATAAAAGTATCATTTACTTTTAACTGTTCATTATCAGAATAAATACAGTCAACCAAACATATAGATACACAGGTTAATTTAAATGCGTACTGCGTAGTGTATACAATCGGTGCCGTTCAGCCTGAGCGCGGGCCAAAGACACATTTGCTCATGTGACGAGGATGTTTTAAGTGCGTTATAAGCCTGCTTTACATAATAAATAATAGTTTAGCTTTCAAATACATCGCAAATATATGTTGTTTTGTGTGTTTTTTATATACAGCAGCTTCGAAAAAGGCATATTTTAGATTTTTCCCCCCTGTCGTATAAACTTCTCATATGCCACTGTTATTAGTGATATAACTTTAATGCCAGCTGCCAAATATGACACTTATAAATTAATACAATTTATGAACGCACATAGAAAAGAGAGAAAGTAGGGATTTTTTAATTTTTTTATTGTATTTTTATTTTTAAAAATTACATCTATTTAGTCATTTTTTTTCTGACCACCAAGTGTCAGTCACTCTCAATGCCAACTGGGGGGGGCGTGATAACCTCCCCGCGCTGAGATGCGTCGTATCATGTGTCGACGATAGCCAGAGATATTGTCAAAACAAAGCATCAAAAATTGGCAAAATTAAGAGGATTTAGCATTTGCACGTAATGTAGGCCTGTTACATTCTTATTATTATTAGGCCTATTATTTTTATTATTAGGTTACTTTTATTATTAAATGACATTAAATTATATATATTATAGCAATTATTTCATAGCGCATTACCGTATGGCACGCTGTGAGGATAATTCAAATTTAGGCTATTAGCTTAGACTACTCCTCATTGAAAATGTTTTTTAAAAGTTTTTTTAAACAGGTCTTTTAATTTATACAATTGAATTATAGGCCTATAATTAAAATTATGAACACAGCAGTCATCAATGAAAATTAAGAGCAACTTTATTTCATGCAGATTTTCAAAAACAACCTGTTTAACCCGAAATACTTTTCTTCTCATGTTTTTCACTATACGGGCCACAAGAGAAATATTAAGGGAATAATTTAAGACAGTATATGTTATAGCAATAATTTCATAGCGCATTACCGCATGGCACGCTGTGAGGATAATTAAAATTTAGGCTATTAGCTTAGACTACTCCTCATTGAAAATGTTTTTTAAAAGTTTTTTTAAACAGGTCTTTTAATTTATACAATTGAATTATAGGCCTATAATTAAAATTATGAACACAGCAGTCATCAATGAAAATTAAGAGCAACTTTATTTCATGCAGATTTTCAAAAACAACCTGTTTAACCCGAAATACTTTTCTTCTCATGTTTTTCACTATACGGGCCACAAGAGAAATATTAAGGGAATAATTTAAGACAGTTATATAGCCTACCATCATCAGCCTATATTGAAGTCATTTTGTCTCTTGTTGTCTCAGAGAATATGCGCCGTTAATGCAGCGTTAGAAAGCGCCGTCAGTTTTTTTACTTTCACTTTCTCTATAGTGAATAAAGCATAACGCTTGCGCACAGTTTGCGCGTTGCTTGCTTGTGTTGCTTGACCCCTACCCCATAATATCAGTCGTTTATAGGCCACATATTAGGCAAATTTTTTTTAATGTTTATTTTTCCAATGTTAATGAAAGTGACACCAAAAATAAGGGAACATCATTAGGAAATCCTTGGGGGGCTAAGCAAGTTTCTGATGGGCCCCGTCAAGCCCCGCCCTAGCGCTGCCACTGATTAGCCTAATTCATTTTGGCTTGTTTAGCAACTTATATTTTTCATTCGTGTTTTCTTCTGAAACCGTTCAAAATTGCCTATAGGCTAGGTATTGTGTTTATTGTTTGTACATTATAACATTTTGCTTTATTTGCGGTGTTATTTATGAATGTAATAATGCGTTTCTGCTTATCCGTGTTTAACCTAAACTACAACGTAACATTAATGTAGACCTACATACCGGTATCTAAATATGATTTTATAATTGTATGCTATATAGACCTACCACACCCTTCACTGGTTATAGAACGAGCAGCAATAAACTACATGTTTGGCATTTTATAATACTTCTGTGGATATTTTGGTGAAAGTAACTCAAAAGTAGTGTAACGCATTACAATTCAGAGACAGTAATATTGTAATGTAACTAATTACTTTCAAAAGACAGTAACTAGTAATATATAATGTATTGCATTTTGGAAGTAACTTGCCCAGCACTGGCAATAGCGAATCTTTAAGTTGAACTGCTTCAAGAACCTCGCTACTGAGAAATGTCATGTAGCTTTTCAGCTCTTTTATTGATACATTCGCGGGGCAGCCGCAGCGCTGATGATAAGTTTCTGTCTGCGTCTCCGCGTGTGTGCGCGAGTACGTGTCTATGTGTGTGTGTGTGTGTGTGTGTGTGTGTGTGTGTGTGTGTGTGTGTGTGTGTGTGAGAGAGAGGGGGAGTGATTTCCTTAGGCTACATAAAAAAGGTTGAAGACATGGAAATAGTTTGTCATTTTTACCCTATTGTTTGTTATATTTATTTAGTTATATTTAGTTATAAAATATTATATATCTCTTCATTGTGTTTGCCCGGTGATTATAAAAAGCATTTGACATTACACGTTCATGCACATTTATTTAGAAAAGTTGCCAAATCCAAATGCATATTATTTCTGGTCTCTTTTTTCAAGTTGTTGTCGACTAATTGAGATTAATGAGAGGAAACAGAAAAGGCATTGGAGACATCCCCGCGCGTCCTGCTGTGTTACTGAACGGCTCGAGAGCAGAACGCTTGGATCATGTCGCTGTGCAGCGTTCTGAAAACGCTCTTCACTTTTTAATAAAAACGTGTTTGTTTTGTGAATGTCTTAAACTTCTCGAGATTTGTAGCGACTGTTTCCAAACCTAATCGTTCGCTGAAAGTTTCAAGACGAAATGCACTTCTACAGTTTATTTGCTCATGATTCTACTTGCTTTCTCAACATTTATACGCTTAAAAGGTTTAACTTTTTAATATTGCCTTACCTGTCAGTGATATTCCTAACACTCGCGCGGATTTCAGTCAACACGACACTTGATGAAATGTAATAACAATATTTAATGCTCAGACTTCAGTTTATCCCAAAACATGATGCAGCGTTTTATATCCCGTTGGAAATCTCTACTGTTTTTCTTAGCATAAGGCAGAAGATGCATTTTAGTGTCCGTGTGAAGCTGAGCAGTGCAGAGGCTGTGTTCTCCTCGCGCTCGAGTTTGGACAGAACCCACTGCGCGCTCCCGCCTCCACAGTGGAAGGGGAGGGATTGTGAACGCGCAGCCTCTCCCTTCAATTCCGCATTAAAGCCACAGGGACTTTGCCGTCCAGATGAAGGTTATTTATAATTCATATCCAGTTGATCATTTATATCACATGACCTATGCCCTTGTTTGTCTTTTCGATGTGAGTATTACCGATATCCACATGATAGGCTACTTTTTCCATGTAACAACTATGCATTTTCTGGGGGAGACCAGGGATGATAGGAACATTTTTTGTTTGAGGGTCAGTAACTTAGTGGTTGTTCATGCCAGACCTCTCAAACTTTGATACATTGTAGCCACATTTGTCTACTACAAATAAAACTCACTTGGACGTGTACTGCACAATCACAGATTATGTGAGTTAATGTCAAATACAAAGAGTTCCGTTGTTACAACCTACCCCACTACTGGGGGTAGATGTAACAATAAGAGGTAGTTTGGTGAAACAATATCCACACTTTCCAGATTATGCAAGAACTTAATTGAAGAACAAAAATTAACAATTTAAACGAACAAATATATGGAACTTTAAACTCAAGACTATAACAAATTGCTGTGTGTGTGTGTTGTAGTTTGTTAGAACTTTCATCTTAACAATTATATCAAATTTGTGCGTGTGTGTGTAGTGTATTTCTTATGGGACTTTAAACTTAACACTATAACAAATTTATGTGTGTGTCAGTGTGTGTGTGTGTGTAGTGTATTTCTTATGGGACTTTAAACTTAACAAATGTATGTGTGTGTCAGTGTGTGTGTGTGTGTGTGTGTAGTGTATTTCTTATGGGACTTTAAACTTAACACTATAACAAATTGCTGTGTGTGTCAGTGTATGACAATTTTTAATGAACTGTTACAACTATCCCCACCCCAAGCAGCCATTACATAGCTAACTCTTTTATCATGTGGGTTTAAAGTTAGCATTAATGTCTAGCATCAAATTAAACTAGAGAAATGGCTACTAAAGATTATGTAAGTCAAACATTTTTATCGACATTACAAAAAATAATCTTGATAAAAAAAATTACTTTCTTACCTGAAAATCGCTTTTTTGGTGTAATTTCTGTGCAATGCAGCAGTATGTACAGTAACTGAAAGAATGGACCTATGTACGCTCGCGCGTCAGTGCTCGTGTCGGAGCATGCATCTGACAGCTGGAGAGGTTTAACCCTAGCCTCCGGTTAAACTCATAGTGAGAGAAGCTCGTTTTGCACTTTAATGTGAAAAAATGTGCCCTTTTGTTTGCACTGTTATAGAAATGTTAAACATAGTAGACAAAAAGCTTCTACATACAACACAATTTATTTTATAAAAATAAGCAGAGTTAAAGGGGTCATATGATGTGATTTCAATTGTTCCTTTCTCTTTGGAGTGTTACAAGCTCTTGGTGCATAAAGAAGATCTGTAAAGTTGCAAAGACTAAAGTCTCAAATCCAAAGAGATATTCTTTATAAAAGTTAAGAGTCAGCCACGCCTACCTAAAACGGCTCGTTCTAACACGCCCCCACATGTCTATGTCACGATGTGGGAAGATTTGCATAACGCCGCTCAAATGTTCAACAAAGTATTTTCCAGACGCTTAACTTAGTTATTTAAAACATAACTATATTGCGCATATCAAGACATATATTAAATAATTACAGAAGCATAAATATTATAAAAACACGTCAGATAAAGACATTATTAATGTGATTGTTACAGTACTCTCAGTAACGTACTGGAGAGCCGGAGTTATGTCTTCTTCAGGCGCCGTTATGTCCCCAGGTTGCTATGCTCCAACCGCCACCAGTGCTGTGTACCTTAAAAATAATACAATTAAATAAAACCTAAAACAACCTTTTCATGTACTTTATTCATTTATTTTCGTAAAAGTCGTTTATTTGTTAAGCAGTAGCCTAACGAGTCTTATCTGATAAAAACGAAATTTCCTGTCAGATGAAAAAAAGCCCCTGACAAAAGCGTTGTTACTGCTGTCAGACGACATTCTGTCAGACTATAAGTAAACATTTCATTTTAAATTCAATTTTCACAAGTATTAAACAACAGTTGTGAAATTAAAACACGTCTCACTTCGAAGGAACATCGGTCCTCCTGTCAGACGCAGCTCTGCTGTCCTGAACTTGAGCGGAGTTACAGTCCCATACATTATTGGTGCCTCTCTCCCCTCCCTTCAGGACATCTACAACACCCGTCTCACCCGCAAAGCCCTCTGCATTGCAGGTGATCCCACCCACCCGACACACAGCTTCTTCAGTCTGCTGCCATCAGGGAGGAGACTGCGGAGTCTCCAGGCCAGGACCAGCAGACTGAAGGAGACCTTATTTGTATATTTGTATAGTTGTATTTTGTATTTAATCTGTATTTATGTTATCTGTATGCACCCAAGGGTCTGAGAGTAACACAATTTCAATTCTCTGTGTGTATATGTCCTGTACATGTGGAAGAATTGACAATAAAGCAGACTTGACTTGACTTGACTTGATACAGCACAGAGCTGTCCGCATGTAGCGTATTACATCTCTCTTGGGTTATTTAAAGGGGTCATATGATGCGATTTCAAGTTTTCCTTTCTCTTTGGAGTGTTACAAGCTGATTGTGCATAGATAAGATCCCTGAAGTTGCAAAGACTAAAGTCTCAAAACCAAAGAGATATTCTTTATCAAAGTTAAGACTGTGCCACGCCCCCTAAAATGGCTCGTTCTAACACGCCCCCACATATCTACCTCACTATGTAGAAATATTTGCATAATGCCGCCCAAATGTGTACGCAAAGAAAGAAGGCGTGGTTTCAGTAACCGCAGTTAGTGTTGAAGCAGCATGTCAGGGAGACGCTGTGTGTTTCTAGGCGAAAGCAAAAGCACTTTATTTGGCCTGGTGTTCGGCCAATCACAATGCACTGGGTCAGCTGGCCAATCAGAGCAGACTTGTCGGAAGGCGGGGCTTTGTAGAAAACGAAGCGTTTGAGAGAGGCGAGGCATAGAGGACTTACAATAATGTACAGTATTTGAAAAATAATGTGTTTTTTGAACATTAAATCATGTCAACATATTCTGTTACACCAAATACACCAAATAATGATCTTTAAAAAAGCATCATATGACAGATTTAAGATCTGATCTTAAGATATTTAAATATTAAGCGGCAAGTCGTGTGGTAAGTCGTGAAATTACCAAAAAGTACCAATCCTTTATGTAAACGGGAACGTCATGTCTTAGCTGGGAATAAATCCATTACATTTTCTATTGTGTTTTGGGCAGGGTTCTATTGTTGTTGTTGTTGTTGTTGTTGTTGTTTTTAATACAATTTAGTTGTGAGTGGTCTTGTGTAGTAATATGAGACATTATATGTTGATCACGCAGACTGTCTATTATAAAAAACTATTTCTTCACGGAAGAATTTTTTATCATGGGTCACTATGACAGGTTAAAATTTACATTCGAATACCTAACAATAAACCTTTATTTTAGACGCTTACTTTGCTTATTTGTGTACAATCTCTTAGTAGTTTTAACTTTTTATCAAACTCGCAGTATGTACAGTAACTGAAAGAATGGGCCTATGTACGCTCGCGCGTCAGTGCTGCATCTGACAGCTGGAGAGGTTTAACCCTAGCCTCCGGTTAAACTCATAGTGAGAGAAGCTCGTTTTGCACTTTAATGTGAAAAGATGTGTCCTTTTGTTTGCACTGTTATAGAAATGTTAAACATAGTAGACAAAACGCTTCTACATACAACTCTACATGCATGATTGTAGGCGTGTTTATAAAAATAAGTAGAGTTAATAAAAATGAGTGAGTGAGTGTGTGTGTGTGTGTGTGTGTGTGTGGATTGGGCAAGGCTAGAGAGAGTATGGGTGTGTGAGTGAGTGAGTGTGTGTGTGTATGTGTGTGTGTGTGTGGATTGGGCAAGGCTAGAGAGAGAGTGTGTGTGTGTGTGTGGATTGGGCAAGGCTAGAGAGAGAGTGTGTGTGTGTGTGTGTGTGTGTGTGTGTGTGGATTGGGCAAGGCTAAAAGGGCGGAACGAAAGTCTCAAAATTCAGATTAATCAAATAGAATCGACTCAGAAGAGACGCAAATTAATGCACGCGCGTCACCTGATCCACAAATGCACATTTGAATCGCTACATGCACAAATTATGATACTTTAATACAAACTATAACATTTGTATTCACAAATATTTTGTTCGTTGGTAGTTGTTTGTGTGGGGGACGTGAAATGCTGTAAACTGCGAAAATGAAGTCTCAAAATCCAAATGAACCGAAAAAGATCGACTCGAACTAGACGTCAATTAATGCAGGTGTGTCACCTGATCCACATATGCACAGATTCCTTTTTGCACGAGCAATTTATGATATATTAATGCAGAACAGAACATTTTTATTCGAAAACATGTCTGTATTTGTACAAATCCCTGCACAATCATTTAATCCTGAATTCCACAGACTCAAATTGAAAGGCATTTGTTTGTGGTTAGTAAGATACATGTATAAAATGTATGCAGTACATGGATAATTGTGGACGCATCTATTAATCATTTTGAGTCTAATATCATCCCATACGCACCCCCCATCCCACATCCCACACCCTTGCTTCTTCTTGCTTCCTCCCTCCCTCGCAGTCATGGCAGGACAAACTACTCCTACTACTATTGTGACAACCCAGCATGTCTCCTCTGGTACCTGGACCACAGGCATCTGTGACTGCTGTTCTGATATGAGCACTTGTAAGTCACCCACTGACCCATGACCTCTCAGTTCCCTTTTCTTTATTCCAACTTGTTTGAATGCGAAATCCAACCTGATCCTAAACCTGTTTTGATGTTACGAAATCAGAGCTCCAGAGAAACGCTGGAAACTACTGCAAAAACTAGGCACGGTCTTCCTGTTAAAGTACAATATGTAATTAAAATGAAAAAAGTATTGACGTAGGATGAATTTATGAGATCATCTAGTTGACTTTAGTGCAGCTTTTATTTCTTAACCACAGTTTTTTATGGCTTTTCTATGATAAGATGCAGGCAAATGTAGAACAATGACACACACACTTTAGAAAGTGCTCAAATGCAGCACCAGCAAGATCTGTTCAAAACTTTGGACGAAGGTGTAGAAGAAATCCTCTTTAAATTTACTGCAGACCCAGAACTAAAACAACCCTCGTGTGTTTCAGGTTGTTGTGCCCTTTGGTGTTTCCCCTGTATGCAGTGTCAGACTGTATCTCAGTTTGGCTGGTGTTTCTGCATGCCATTGCTGGACTGCTGCATGGTGGTATCTTGCTGTCTGCGTCAGAAGATGAGAGAGCAATATAACATTCATGTGAGTTCATACACACACACGCACGCACACGCACACACATGCAATTGAGAGAAGGGTGATTTATAGAAGAAAGACTAGTAGACTGGTGCTAGTGTCCACACAGAGGAGGTGAAATTATATATATACCGCTTGTAGTTTCTTTGCCGTTTCTGATGAATTGTGGGTGTTTCTGATGCTCTGTGTTCACATGTTCCTGACACACACAAACAAAATCTGTAAAATGTTGTGTAAAAATAGCCATGTATTCTGAAAGTAAATGTTTCTGCAATCACCATAGAAACCACACATATTTCATTATATTACAATGATTTTTTGGGAAGGTTCTTAAAAGCATGACTTTAGTAAAGGACTGTGTATGTTCTCCAAACAGCATTGTCATTATAATTTTGCATTTATGGCTCAGGTGTTTGGCTGCATGTGTACAATCTTAAAGGGATAGTTCAGCAGTAAATGAAAATCTTGTCATCATTTACTCAACCTCATGTTGTTCCAAACGATGATTTGTCATCTGTGAAAGTCACCTTTATTTATATAGCGCTTTTAACAATACAGATTGTGTCAAAGCAACTGTACAGCATTAATTACGAAAATATTGTCAATAATGCAAAATGACAATAGTAAACACTCAATTTTCAGTTAAAGGCAGTTCGTCATTGAATTCAGTGATGTCATCATCCAGCTCAGTTCAGTTTAAATAGTCTCTGTGCAATCAAGTCGACGATATCATTGGAAATTAAGTGTCCCCAACTAAGCAAGCCAGAGGCGACAACGGCAAGGAACTGAAACTCCATCGGTGACAGAATGGAGAAAAAAACCTCAGGGGGCCAGTTCTCCTCTGACAAGACGAAACCAGCAGTTCAATTCCAGGCTGCAGCAATGTCACATTGTGCAGAGGACTCAACTGGTTCCTGTGGTCTGGTTCCTGAAACACAAATTGAAAAATAATTACAATTATTTAAAAAAAAAAATTTGTGTTATGCATAAGAAAACATGTCATACAGGTTTGGAACAACATGAGGGTGAGTAAATTATGACAGAGTTTTCATATTTTGGTGAACTGTCCCATTGAGACCAATGTTATGCCAATCTCTAAAGTGTCCTTGAATACTTCTGCTAACTAAAATGAACATACAAGGAACAAACAACTACTTATTTATATCTGTTTCTTTAATGAGTTCTTTAACTGCTACAACTATAACTTCACTATGATAACCACAGGCAAGATTTCATTTCCCCATTTCCACATGCTACTTAAAATTTTTTGAAGAACTGAAGAACAGATGTTCATGAATTTGCTTCCCAGTGAAAGACGAAGAGACGTGGCAGTTGTTTCAAAACCTGTAAAATCTTACAATTTAAAGGTTTAAAAACTGCTTGCGACTGTGAAAAAAACATTTGAGCCACTGCTGCGAGTGACACGATCGAAGAACTCAAAGAACAGATTTGTGTGCTCATGGAGACCCGTCTTGACAGGCTACTCTGAAAGAATGAACCCAGAAGGCACAGAACACAGGACGCATCTTTGTGAGAATTGAGATGCGCTGTGAGTACAGTAGCGGCCAGTAGACAATAAATACAACATAACATCACAAACAAATGTTAACATCTATTAAAACATTTATTTCATAATATTGTGGACAGACATTATTCCCATATTATGCTTTGTCAATGTTACGATTCTTTATAACATACAAATACTGCAGTCTCTCCAGGTCTTCTAAACCTAAACCTTTCAAACTTCAAGCTTTTATAACGGCTTCAAACTTTCAGGCTAGGCTTTATCAAGCCAACCTCAAAGTTTATTCCTCTAGTTATCTTTAAAGGGGTCATATGATGCGATTGAAATTTTTCCTTTCTCTTTGAAGTGTTACAAGCTCTTGGTGCATAAAGAAGATCTGTAAAGTTAAGAGTCAACCACGCCTGCCTAAAATGCCTCGTTCTAACACGTCCCCACATATCTACGTCATGATGTGGGAAGATTTGCATAACGCCACCCAAATGTTCACGCAAAGAAAGAAGGCGTAACTTTTATTCTGGCTGTAGTATTGTTGTTGCCGCCGCCATGTCGTGAACTACTTTGTTTGGCCTTCCAACAGAGGATCGGCTTTCACCGTGGACGAAGTGGAGTCCAGCCCGGGGTCGTCACATGTAGTTGCCGCAAGCCCGACGGACGCTCCTTCGTCGAATCCGCCGCCTCTGCTCACTCTAGCACTCCGGCCGTTCCTCACTTTATCCCCCGGCCTCTGCTCACTCTAGGCCGCCGTGTGTGATGCTGTGTTTCATTGTGAAAGCGAAACTACTTTGTTTGGCCTAAATACAAGTCATTACAATCCATAATTATGTCCCCACTGGATGCAACGAATGCCTTGTTTATAATGGGGTTTCATGTTTTTGATTCATTGCTCCGGCTTGACAGGGCATCATCACAATGTGGTAAGGGGCGTAACATTTCTGTCACACGCTTGAGGTATTCGGCCAATCACAACGCACTGGATAGCTGGCCAATCACAGCACACCTCGCTTTTCAGCGCGATGAGCTTTGTAAAAATCAATGCATTTCAGAAAGGCGGGGCATAGAGGAGAAACAATACATTATGTGGAAAATAATGTGTTTTTTTAACCTTAAACCGCATAAACCCATTTCATTACACCACATACACAAAATAATGTTCTTTTTAACAGCATCATATGACCCCTTTAATATTAAAGGGTCATATGATGCAATTTCAAGTTTTCCTTTCTCTTTGGAGTGTTACAAGCTGATTGTGCATAGATAAGATCCCTGAAGTTGCAAAGACTAAAGTCACAAACCCAAAGAGATAATTATGGTTAATTAGCATGTCAATACTCCTAGTTTCTGTTAATGAAAAAGCTTGAAAACTTGCAGTTTTGTTATAATTACAGCAGAAATACTGAAAATATCTTACAGATAATATGAGGGAGGGGAGGCTTAAATATTAAATTGGACAGCGGTGGACTTCGAGTCAAAAAAGTTGAGAACCACTGCTTTAGTGTCTGATGACATTTTTTAAGCATTAGAGGCACTGATCCCATGTTTTTGCAAGAACTATCAAATAGACTATTGCATAAAATGAAAAGAAAAATTAACCTAGCATGCAAAATACAAATTTTGATGTTAATTTGATGGAAATAATAATCACATTTGGTAATGAGGTTGCAAAAATCGTGACAAGTGCCTACTATATCAAACTGTTCTCTGGGATTGATGTAGATGACTGAATAGATCTCAGACCTGGCCTTGCGGGCTTGTTCCAGCAGGCTTTCTGCTCTCAGTATGTCAGCAGCACTCTGGTTGAGGATGTCCTCGACTTCTGTCAAGCTGCCCACGCGCTCCCTGATCTCTGCGGTCAGGTTCTGCAGCTGGGCTGGAGTGGTGGGCATCTGCATCTGCAGAACTTCATTGGCCACAGCCTCGATGCTTTCCAGGTCCGCTCCATCTTCTGTAGAAGCAGATAGAGTAAGAGTTCAAAATCAAGGATCTGATCATCCAAGCAACCTATCTCAAGGAAACCTGTAAGGGTTTCTTACGAGTGAGGAAGTCTCGGATCTGTTTGATGAGTTGGCGTAGCTCCTCGTTGCTTCCATCCACACGCTTTTTGGTCTGATTGGTTTTTGCCAGCACTTCTTGAGCATTAAGCTTTGCTTCATCTGCTTTTACCTTTGCCTCTGACACCTGAACATACAAATTAAAGAAAATAAATTCTTTAAATCCTACAATGTCTACACAAAATTAATCAGCAGTTATCAAGTGCCTAACAGTGAGAAGATCCAAACGGAAGCATATCTCTACAAAAACGCATTGCAAAATCTTTTATCATATCAACAGCAGATACAGTATCACCTGAGAAACCTCACCATTTTGGAGAGCTTGTCCACTTCCTCCATAGCGCTCATAATCTCCAGGTCAAAGTCCTTGGCTTTCTGCCAGGCATTGTGGGCCAGCGTGGCGAGGCCATCACATCCCTCTCCTCCACACTTCCTGTTTCCTTCCCCATCCACACAGCTCAGGCCTCCGCAGGGGGAGTCGGCACAGTTCTCTGAGCCAGCTGGACTGCCACATGTCTATCCAGAGAGAGATCACAAAGTTAAAACTAAGCTTTTCTATTTACATACGCAAAATTCACTAGCCGGGTTTCCATCTAAAGTTGCGAATTTAATTTTATTCGAAATTTGGCGTTTCCATCACTCGTTTCTCATGCGATACTTCAAAATGTGCATTAAAATAGGGTGATGGAAACATAGCTACTGCCATGATGCTGTGTGATTGCATAGGCTTTGCTATGCATTTGCTAGGTATTCTATTGCTAGGCATTGCTGTGCAGTTACTAGCATACATATGTGTAGATAGATGCCACATTCGACCGCTCCAGACACGTCAACACGTCTGCCATCTTGGAACGGTCAATGTGTCGTCACTCACTATTAAAATCAATGAGTTTCAAGATGCCACAACATTGTGCAGCCTCTGGTTGTAAAAACCACCGAAATTTAAATTCCTGAAGAAATTGGATAAACTTTTTTTGACAGGTAAGAATGTCTTGGTTTGTGTTTTTAATATGTATTAACTCAATATTACAGTTTTTTTAAACTATAGTACCCTTTAAATGTTGTGGTAGCGAACGGCTTCGTCTTGTTGTATCGTGTTAGTTTAGCAAAATCATCTGCTGAAGTCTATTGCACATATAGATGTTGCATACAGAGCAATGTACAAATTTTGGTCTGTTACTGATTCCAAATTACATGACAAAAATTGTAGTTAGTAATGTAATCCATTACATTATACATTTCAGGTAATATAAGCAGACTACTTTTTGATTACCTTTGACCTAACTCATTTATCACGTTGATTTAAATAGGATAATCTTGTACCATAATGATATAAAAGACAATTTATTCCATTTAACCATTGCATACAAATTCCATCGCATTAAACATTACATTAAAGGAACTGCAGGGGATTTGCGAGTTTGATGAAAAGCTAATAATTAATTAAATCATAAAAAAATAAAAATTAAAATAAACAATAATCAATCACTTACTAAAAAAAATTTATTTGATTACCTGCATGTCATGTCACCATTAACCAATGTCAGAAAACTGTGAACATGCAAATGTGTTACTTAATTATTAAAATATTTATTTTAAAATCTCAGGGGAACTTCAAGTAAATAGGTGAAAGCGGTTCAGATGACAGAACTTCAAAATGTGCATTAAAATAGGGTGATGGAAACATAGCTACTGCCATGATGCTGTGTGATTGCATAGGCTTTGCTATGCATTTGCTAGGTATTCTATTGCTAGGCATTGCTGTGCAGTTACTAGCATACATATGTGTAGATAGATGCCACATTCGACCGCTCCAGACACGTCAACACGTCTGCCATCTTGGAACGGTCAATGTGTCGTCACTCACTATTAAAATCAATGAGTTTCAAGATGCCACAACATTGTGCAGCCTCTGGTTGTAAAAACCACCGAAATTTAAATTCCTGAAGAAATTGGATAAACTTTTTTTGACAGGTAAGAATGTCTTGGTTTGTGTTTTTAATATGTATTAACTCAATATTACAGTTTTTTTAAACTATAGTACCCTTTAAATGTTGTGGTAGCGAACGGCTTCGTCTTGTTGTATCGTGTTAGTTTAGCAAAATCATCTGCTGAAGTCTATTGCACATATAGATGTTGCATACAGAGCAATGTACAAATTTTGGTCTGTTACTGATTCCAAATTACATGACAAAAATTGTAGTTAGTAATGTAATCCATTACATTATACATTTCAGGTAATATAAGCAGACTACTTTTTGATTACCTTTGACCTAACTCATTTATCACGTTGATTTAAATAGGATAATCTTGTACCATAATGATATAAAAGACAATTTATTCCATTTAACCATTGCATACAAATTCCATCGCATTAAACATTACATTAAAGGAACTGCAGGGGATTTGCGAGTTTGATGAAAAGCTAATAATTAATTAAATCATAAAAAAATAAAAATTAAAATAAACAATAATCAATCACTTACTAAAAAAAATTTATTTGATTACCTGCATGTCATGTCACCATTAACCAATGTCAGAAAACTGTGAACATGCAAATGTGTTACTTAATTATTAAAATATTTATTTTAAAATCTCAGGGGAACTTCAAGTAAATAGGTGAAAGCGGTTCAGATGACAGAAAAGAGTATTTTAAAATACAATATAATCTAATTACAAGTACTTAATCTTTGGAATCTGATTACGTAATCCAGATTACATGTAATCAGTTACTACCCAGCTCTGCATGCGGATAAATATGATTGCAAACGTACAGTCAACGTACAGTTCACAGACCTGCTTTGGCCATTTCAATATGGTGATAGCTTATGTATAGCAGCCAACAGAAACAGCCGCTAATATGGCATCTACCTTTACATATCTATAGGGTGTTCTAGGCATAGATATGTATAGGTAGAATCCACATTCATCTGCCATCTTGGAACTTTTGGAAAATGTTGAAAATGTTCGGACACTTTTCGGAAAAATGTAATCCAACTTTGGAAGCCAATTACTCGTGTTTTCATATATGCATATAACTACAGTTGCAGACGCACAATCATCTTGCTCTCGAGTGTTCACGGACCGACCTTTACTTTTCCACAGAAACAGCCACTAATGAGGCATCTATGCATTTATATTTATGGTTCTAGGTAGTTGTAAACTCATTGCTATGCAGTTCTTAGTGTGTTCTGGGAGTTTGATTACTGGCCCACCCTTAAGTCTCTATGTAAGGCTGGGCGATTTTTCAGATTTTGCCGATTAATTCGAATTTTGAATAGAAGTAATACCAAATGTTAGAATTAGACACTTTATGCCAATGATAACGATCATAGAAAAGAACGATCCAACCGAATGTCGGCCTAATGCTTAACCGCTCACGAGTGACGCGCTCATATCGCTAGGTGCCATTCACACAGAATGTGCTTTTGTGTTGACAAAGATGCGACGTGGGCAGTGGAATAAGAAAAACACGCAAGAAGATGGGAGTGAACTTCTTTTAACTTGAGCACCACATTTTTAGACTGCTGTTTCATGCATGAGACGCTGCAATGGAAATCAAATCAATCAAATTTTTGTATCATGGTGACACTTGGAATATATTTGTCTTTAACTAGAGGGTTAATAAAGAAAAGTTTACTTGAATCATGTTGTAGTTACATTTTTAAATTGACTAGTTAAAATCTTTTTAAAAATCGAGAATTGCTCAAACATTTTGAAAAAATAGAGATTAATTTTTTTTTTGCGAAATTGCCCTGCCCTAATTCTATGACATTCTGGTATCTTGATATTACTTAGGTTTTCACTTGTTTTATCATCCGCCAAGGAAAAACATAAGTTCAATCAGCAACGGTACACCTATCTTAAATGAGCCAAACAATTTGCGACATGTAATAGAACGTTTAGAATATTATGTGACAACAAGAAACAAAAAAGAAACAAAAGCCTGAGGATCTCCAATGATTTTTTACAAAAATATAACATGAAAGTGACATTGATTTGTTTCTGAAAACTAAACTTTGCTAATTAAAACTACTGTATGTCAGTGATTAGATAAGCTCTTGACCATATTCATCAATCTGTTGACTGCTTTACCTTCTCGCTAAGATCAGTCAGGTCCAGAGTCTCCAGCTGTCCAGCGAGGTTGTCCAGTTTCTTCGCAAACTCATCCTGCCTTTGAATGAACTCTTCTTTGGTCTGGTTCATCAAGTCCTCTGTTTCTGTCCGCAGGGTGGCAGACTGATTGACCAGGTTGTCTGGGTCAATGGTGGAGGCATTCGCACGGATCTCTGCCATCTGGGACTGCTCATAGTATTGAGTCACGCTGGCTCTGGCCCCTGTGGATCGAAAAAAATGTTGCATTGATGCATTGTCTGGGACTGTTGATGAAAAGGGCTTTACAAGATCTAGAGTGATGTTACTCACCCCGAATGTCTGAATTCTTCACAAACTCCACCTGCTTCTGAAGGTCCTTCACCGTCTGTTCCAGTTTCTGAGCTTCTTCTTTGAGGAACTTAAGTTTGGTGTCCGTGCTGTTGTTGTCGGATGAGATCTCGGACAAGGTCTCCTCTGTCAGGTTAAGGTTGGTGTTCATTTCAGCCATCAAGGCACTTCAGAGACAGAAACAGATTATTCTCATGAGACCTGATGAGAAGGATCTACACTTGCTTCCACATCCTGAGAAAGGCCTTAACTTACGTTGCTTGTTCGAGAAGTCCCTGGATCTCCGTTAGAGGCTGAGTGGCTGGATTCTGGGCCAGAATGTTGCGGATCGAGTTGGCGCTGCTTTCAACATTATTGATGGTGGCCTGGTAGGGTCCCGTAATGCCGGCGGCTTTGATGGTATTGACTTTCTGGACCAGTCTGTGGGTCTGGTTGGTGAGGTCGCCCACAATTACATCCCATTCGGTGAAGCACTGGTGGCAGCGCTCGCAGTGTGGGAACTCGCCCGTGTAGCCTCGAGCGCATGAGTCACATCGGGGCCCGGAAACACCTTCCACGCAAACGCAGTGACCTGTGACCTTGTTGCACTGCTGCTCCGCGATGCCTCTTGGGTCACAATCACATGCTGAAAATATACAGGAATACTGAGGTTTAAGTACAGGGACCTGAAGTTTAACGCAGGCTTATTAACTAAAACTAAACTTAACTAAACTTAAGAATATTTCTGTTAACCAAAATGAAGCTGAAATCAAGATATTTAAAAAAAAAACCTTGAACTTGGCAACTAACTGAAATAAGTTTAATTTGAAGCATTAAAATTACTGACCGGAAATAAATGAAAAATAAAATGGCACTGAAGCTAAAACGTAAAAATAAATTAAACCTAAATGGTAATATTAAAAAAAAGAAAGAAAGAAACTATTAAAAAAATGACAAAATCACATAACCAAATTACTAAAATTAAAATTAAATTAAAATTAACTGACAAAAAAGAAAAGAAAAGCAAATCAAAAATATTGACAAAATATGTAATAATGTAGAAATAACACTAAAATAACTTAAAGTTAAGCATGTTGTTGAGTTAAAATAAAATAAAAATTATACACAAAATACACAAAATTATTGGGTAAATAGTATTTTTTTCATTTATAAGAATTAATAATAATAATAATAATAATAAATCATTAACATTTATAATAGAAGTAAAAAAATAAAACGTTGAAATTACAACATTTTTAACTAAGAATTCGATAATTTTGTGCTGTGTTTTGCATAAAAGCATTGGCAAAATGGTGATTCAGTTATTATATTTACTATAATTAGTTGGGTAGATTGCTTGGCCACATTTCTACAGAAAGACACAGATTTTAGAAAAATAACATTTGAAAGGCTAAAAGAAATGAACCGAGATGTTTAAGACAACCGTTCATTGACTGTGGCATTTTCTGTCAACAAGTGCAAACTTTGAGTTACTGTGACCTTATTAGGCTGGAGCTGAAAGAGTGAGCGATGGAGTCAGGGGGAGGTGGTGGGAGTGGAAGCATGAAGGAAAAGATTGTTTGCGCACTTTAGTGCTGCACTGCACTGCGAGTGTTTGGTGAACAAAAGGCAATAACTGCCCCACAATGACAGGCGAGACACTTAGCAAACACCACGCTAGGAATGACTTAACATGAGGCCAAACAAACATACTCATCCACAGAATATTCTAGTTGTAACGGCCTTATTAACCTTCATCAAGACCATTTTCACCAGTCAAATAATCTATTTCTCATATTCAATTTTTAACAAGTTTAGCACTATTCCAAAACCTAGTTAACAGCTAGCAGCCTACTGCAACAAAGATACCTTCATCCTATTTAAATGTGTAGCTTAAGTGACTGATTTTGAATGCTCTACACAGGCAGCAATTCTGTTAACCACAACAATAGTGCTCCTCATGCAACATGTAATTGATTCCAATATAGTTTGGCATTAGCATGCTGCTACGCTAACAATGTACTACTCTAATAAGTGTAAAAATACATAGAACTCCCAAATATTTTGTGAAATAGTTCATTTTAATTAGATTGAACTAACTTTTATCTATACTTTTCAGCACTGAGTGAAATATCAGCACAAATCATGGCACAAATCATTCTGATGGTGCGTTCAAGCCCTACTGAAAAGTTAGCATTTATGAGTTGGAAATTACGACGTCAGGTTAAATGAACTCTGGGCTCAAAACAAACTTTGCATTCGCAAGGTTTCACATTCATAATTACGACTTTGTGGTGGCATTCATTCAATTCGTAAATACAAAATCAGACAAAACTCACATCATGGAGTCTTCTCCATTGAACGATGCTTAAAAATTTGGCCAAAACAAATTATCTTAAGACATCTTTACACAGCTTACATGTTAAGGCTGCTCTGTCCCTGCTTAAATTTCTCTGTAAAGACATAATGCTGTATAAAAGCCAGATTTTATGCCTGCTCTGACCCACCACATCTCCTTGTATCAAATTTGCAGTGTAAATGCATTCATGCCACCTCTGAGCTGCATTATGCAGTCTGTGTAAAGACACATGAATGCCAGATCAGAAGTGCTTCTGTGCCAACTTTGTAGTGTAAATTTGGCATTAGAGGGCAGGAAAATGATGCTGCCTAGGTAGGCTGGTAGCTCACTAGGATTTTTAACAGAGTGCATGTTTTTAAAGGTAAACAGGTAACCAGAGACCAGCACTTTTTTGACCCCCGAGGAGAATTCAGGACAATATATGTGACACATACAATACCTGAAAGGGGACCCTGTCTGGGACGGTTCGTTTACTTAAAACACATTCCAGTGTGACGTGATTAAACACACATTCCACAGGAAAAGACTCCTTCACCTAAGGCCACTAACGCATACAAGGTACTAGAGATAGGTAATTATCTCGGAGGTTAATCCCTGCTATTATCCAGGGGGCCTCAGGCGGCACCGGGGGCATTTCTTGTTGGGACAATGCAGTGAATGTGACCCCTGGAGACGGTAACAGGCGCAGGAGCTTTTGTGTTGGTGATGGGAAGTATTTAGTAGCAACTGACACAACAATTCTAGGATAGGCTTTTACTGCCCGAGGAACACATCTGCATTTTATTGTTTAAAAGCCACCTTGAGAAATGCATGAACCTTTGAAAAGCAGGCCTAAAATAAACAAGATTGAATGCAATACAGTGCGTTTGTGTACTCAGCAATCGTTTACATAGACATATATGGCTAAGGCATGGGGATGTAAAACATATCACATGCCAGCTGAGAAGGAAAACCACAGTCTCCCAGACTAAACCACTTGAGAGGTACTTCTGTAATAACAAAGTCCATTTTACTGCTGTTAAACATTCATGACGGTGTTAACAAACTCTTGGAAATTATGCCTTAAAAAATTCACCAAATTCTGGGTTGGTGATATATTTGCCAGATCTGTGTAAACAGTAACCAGCCATGAGGGCAGCTGCCACGGCATGCCCAACATCCAATTTCTATAAATAAATTTAGTCTCAAACCAACTAAAAATCTGCAGTAACTTCGAATCTAACTGTCAGTAGTTTTTCATTTACAAATATATGTTTTACATGGCTGTCTGATACAGGAATGTATGCGTGTGTGCACAGGTGTGCATGCGCGACCAAAGTAAAAAATGTGCGAGGTAAATAAGTTCAAATCGCTGATTTGCGCACTGACATGGTTGACGGTTGTTAATGCACAAGCACTGTTTTTGATTGACTAACTGTAATACTGTATAAGATTTCCATTCAAACAGAAAGCCTAAATCTAAGCTTTACGTTGCCGGTTTTGGCGCAAAACGTGAAACTGTGACATTTCGTTCACTGACACGCTTCAGTCGGCAGCGCTAAAACCGGCAGTGAATATACTTACTTGCCGGCAACTCGCCAAAATAAAAGCTTTCTGGTTTTAGGTTTAAAAATGTTGAAAATTCATATAAAAAAGAAAAGAGTCTAAAAGAAAAAAATGTAAATGTAAATATTAGCATTGTATTTTTAAGTGTACTATAAAATTATTCTATTTTTATTGAATACTAATTTTTTTATTTTAAAATAATATAATATCAATCTTTATTTATTATTTTGTAATAACCAAATTAAATAAAGCACAATTACATCATTTTTACTTTTATTTTTTAGTTATATTTAACAGGTCACACTATGTGCAGTGTCCGCACCAAACCAAATCTCTAGGTGCTCTCATGAGAACCAGACCGAAAAACTTATGTGCACCCCTGAATATATGTATCCTTTCCATCTGTTTTTCATCACCATGCAGATAAGGTTATTGCAAAAATGCATGGGAGGAAACGTCACTTTTTGAACACAACTATGTCTGGCTATCATTCCTTCCAGGGCTTTTAGAGTTTAAGGAACATTTTACCAAATTTGTTTTACTGTTTGGCTAATAGAGCATGAACTTTTAATTAACTTTTAGGCTTCAAGTCATCATTCCTCAATTGTAAGTCCCTTTGGATAAAACTGTCTGCTAAATGAACCAATGTAAATGTAGCACCATAATTGATCAGAATTCAGATCAGACGACACCTCTAGGCACACAAAAGTTGTACTAATTATACAAAAAGTTAAAGTACAACCTATAAAATCTCTGAGGAAATCAGTTGTGGTTAAACAAAACGTAAAGCTTGGGATTTCACAAGGTTATCGAACTAGTATTTAACAGGAAACCACATAAAGCACAGCTCAAGCTGAACAAACGCTCAGTGCTGTGCTGGAAGAGGGAAGAGCATACTGAGGGTGAGTCAACAGGAGGGTTATAGAGGGGTAACTGGATCTTTAGAGGAACACGGGGGGGCTTCCTGCTCCATCAGGACTCTCCAAACAAACGGAGGGGTGTGGGAGTGGAACAGATCTCTGTCAGCACACCACTTTATCGGCTCAAAGAGAGTCCAAAACCTGCTCTGCTTAAGACCAAATTGCTTATTAAAGGAATAGTTTGTGCAAAAACAAATCTGCATTTGATTACCTTCATGTCATTTCAATAATGTACCATAAAAGTTGTTTATATCATTTTGTGTGAACAAACTGAAATGTTACTCACTGGAAATCTCTTTCATCAACTTGTAAAGTGATGGTAATGCTGATGCTGGGTCATATTTTACATGCATCACCCTTGATAATGAGCTGTTAATTGGGCTGAGATTGTGGTGAAGGTCTAACAAAACAATACGTCACAATGATCTTGAAGGAGATCTGTAGATAGTCGATGCTCAGAATACCATCAGAATCTGCACTTCCCTTGTGTTCAAGATCTCAAAAGCACCAGAAAATTCTTCATCGAGTTCAAATAGATTTCCAAAGTTATGGTCTGCACAGCCGCAAATACAGTCAGAGAGAGGACAAAGCCTCTTTTCTGAGGAGAAGCACTGCGGCAGACACTAATGGCCTCATAAGGGGAAGCCCACGAATACAAAGGTGCATTGTGGGAGTAGAGAGGGTATTGCGAGGCTTGGACAGATCCCCCCACAAGCTCGTCATGGTCATGCACATCTGGGGCGAATCAGAGAGTGGGCCGAGGACTTCTCCATTCTGCTAGACATTCCTACAAAACTGGGTTGCCTACAGATTTTATGGTTTGGGGTAATGGCAGCACAAATCTGCAGTGTTTGCAATGGCAGCAAGATGAGCTTAGTTGCGTTATCTGGGTTTATTCAATGTTCAGCAGTGATCATTTAAATTCAAGATTTACCTTTTAAAATTAAATTAAAATCATTACATTTCCCTGGTCTTATTGTGCACATTTTATTGGTGTGAATTTTTCAGAATACAAAATAATAGTTTTCGGACTACTGTCATAACCAAGACTACATAAGCTGTTATATAATAATACTATTATATAAAAATCATTTTATATATATATATATATATATATATATATATATATATATATATATATATATATATAGAAAA